GGTTTCCAGGAAGCTCAACCAAAAAACCCGTGAGTATACAGCAACCAAACGCGTCAAATAACACATACGACCACTTATCTTCATTGTTGATATCGTCCAACTAGGATGACAATGGTAACAGCCGGTAGCGTGCCGCAGCATATCCAGAAGTTTATACTTCATGCTTCATACCTCTCTGTAGTCCTTTTTTACTCTTTTTTTCTTTGTTTCCCTTACTTTCCACCTCCTTATAATGCAAAAAAACAACCTAGTTGGACATTTTCACCTTTACTCACCTTCCCCAATCCTAAATAAACCAATTTTTACTGTTTATGCTGTTAGTATTACAAATGTCACTGTTGTTGTTGTTTTGTTGTCGTTATTGCTCAAAGCATACCTACCTTCAAATTCGATAAAATTCATATTTAGCAATAAAAATATACGCACACACGCATACACACAGAAAAAAACCCAAAGGAAAAAACTAAATGATCACAAAATGTGATGAAAACAAAGACCAACATCATAATATGAAGCTCTTGAATTGATAAGACGACAATACAGTAGACACAAAATGTTTATGTATATATATGTATAGAAAAATTAGATAAATATACACAGAGCCTTTCTCTTGGGTTAAAAACCAAACAGAGGTATAAAGCAGGCATATTGTAACGCAAAAAAAATTTACGAATTAGAAACAAAAATTAAAGATAAAAACAAAAAAGATGCAGCAAACAGATCGGCAGCAATAGCTGATAACCTTGAATACAGCACTCATTCAATTTATCCTTTATCCTTTTCCCTTCACTCAACCCTAAACCATCCCATTCACTCACTTGTTTATTCATTCCATTTTTTAAAAGCTCTCTTGTCCAACTCTCTTTTACTATTGCAAGCAAATCTGTTCTAAAATTTTTGTTGCTTGGAAAAAAGAAGATCAAAGTTAAAGAAAGTTGTCCCGAAAAAATACGGTGCATTTTTGTGCAGGTAATAAAGTTACTAAGGTGCTGGTTCAGCCGGTACCGGTAACAAGTTAGTGTTTAAAAAACCGAAATAAAAGCAAAAAATGATGAAATGCTGATGGTGACTGCGACTCTGATGATGACGACGACGACGGTGACGACAGTAATGATGTTGGTGATGACGATGGTGATAGTGATGATATTAACAAAAACGACGACGTTTTGATAATGATGATGATGATGACGATGATGATGATGATGATGATGATGATGATGCTGATGATGATGATGATGATGATGATGATGATGATGATGATAACGGTGATAATGGTGGTGGTGGTGGTGGTGATGGTGGTGGTGGTGTTGGTAGTGGCGATGATAATGATGATGATGATGACGATGACGATTATGGAAACTAGAAGACAGAAACGAATAAAAATGATGATGACGCCTTCATACAGATATTGATGGAATTCTATTGAGCGAGAAGAAAAAGTTAAGAGTAACTAACTTTAAAGTACCAACGAGAACCACTATTGTAATGCTAAAATAAATTCCAAGATCTTCAACGGCGATACGCCATAAGCCGCTAAGCCATCATACATTTCGTCTAAAAACACTCAACGTACAAATGAAAATAAACAAAAAAAAGAAAAAAACCCGCTTTTGAACTAATTCGTATTGTAAATGCCAGCTTTCTTTTTCTAATTTTTCAAGTCCATTATTTCGAGCACTTAGTACAGAAACCGGTGGCAAAAAGTTGTCCGCAAAATGCATATTCAAGGCCATCCGCTTTGAGTCACAAGAAAATCGTAGACTTCTTTCATCTTCATTTCCTCCAACTCATTAGTAAAAGATAGAAATAAGAAAAAGAAAAACTGAACAGTGCTAAAATATTTTAAATGTACTTTTTTTTGCTTCTCATCCTTGTGCCCAAAAAAATTTTTTTCCTCCCTCTCCAATAAACAGGTAAAAGCTAAACAGAATTTATACAGCAACAAAAGGAAAGAAACACTTAAACATTAACATATGCTAAAAATAATTCCTTTTTATACAACAATCAGAATGGGTGAAAAAAGCTTTCATTTCAAATGATCTGTCAACAAAACTAGACCGTCCAGTCAAAAAATACATCAGTTTTTCGAACAACTATCAGCCCCTTCTAATCCAGTTAGCCAGTTAGCTAACTACCTTGCTTGCCTAACTGCTTGCTTACTCACTGACTTGCCTGCTTACTTCCTTTGGTTAGCTAAACTTTTTGGTCGTTCCCAATCTTAGCTTCCTCAACAAGATGTAGTCTAAAGTGGCTAAGAAGAGTTCCTCTAAAACCCGAACAAACTCACAACCAAAGAGTGCAACTGGCTTTCTTTTTAAATGACCAACAGATCTGAAAACACCTAGATAACGACACCTGCACAACCTCGGTTTTTCGGAAAGCATTAAAAAAATCTAAGTAAAAACCTACGCATCTTTCTGGATACTGTCATTTGTTTAGACTTTAAAAAAAGGAAAGAAAACTACTGCTCATATATTTTTTAATAAGTTTTGCTGCAGCAACAAAGCAAAAAAAACTACATAAATACCTTTTGCTTACCTCCCCATCAGAAACCTCTACAAAAAACCCCATTAATTTTCTCAAAAAAAAAAAAAAAAAAAAAAACACATAGAACAAAGAAGAAATGTATGCATGAAAACCGTGTACTTCACTCAGCTAAGCAATTTCACAATGAACAATCAAAAAAGATCAGCGCAAAAAATCCTGAAGCCAAAATGCAAAAGTAGAAAGAAAAAAACGAAAAAACTCACAAGTTCATAAACAAGGCAGTTAAATTATATAATAATGACTGTTAACTGGAAACGAATTAAACAATCAAGGAATGCACAATATTTGGTCATTTTATATTAAGAAACGTCAATATTCACTTCAACAAAGTAAAACATTTTTAGGCAAGACCTTACTAACAAGAAAAGTTTTCAATCCCAAGAATATTAGACATCAGACGACCAGAGCCCTCAATTTTTCCAGGAACCGTTTTCTGCTTTTCTAATTCTACTTTTTTATTCAATTTAACTGATTAATTTATTTATCTATTTATTACTTTTTTTGTAGGCTAAAGAAAGAAGAAAGAAAAGAGATGTGTTGAATCAAAACCCAACAGATTAATTCGTCCGCACAGTTTTTTAGAAAAACAAATTCGCACTGGTTGACATACCGTTTGCTTCTTTCCCAAATATCCAACAAAATGTATCGTCTGCCAACAACTATACAATTAGGAATTACAGAATCCTGAAAAAACTTCCCGTTTCAAAATATTAATCAGAAAATGTACAATGAAAAAAATAAGCTGTTAGTTAACCATTCAGCAATTGAGATAGTTTTACTTATAAATAAATAGCGAGCGGCGAAAAAAAAATTGTTAAAACATCCCTGACTAAACTCAATAAACCAAACAATTAATCAACTAATCCAACAATACGGAACTAATATCCTAGGCTTTTTAATCCATAAAAACTCTGTTCTACCACTCATTATCGCTCAAATTTGCAGCTGAGATTCAGAACCCTTCCAAACATACAGCTTAGCTATGTAGTTAAGTTTTTTGACACATGCAACACCAAAAAATTAATATCAAAAAAAATCCAAAATGGTGTACAGAATGAAGAATAACAAACCGTTTAGAATTTTCAACCACTAATATCACCCATCTTATTTTTTGCATATTCAATCCGCATACCACCGCGATCAGAACTGGGTAATTGATAACCCTGTAAACCTGCCATTGCCTGTGTAGCTTGTCTTATGTCGGAATATTCAACAAATGCCACTGAAGACCCGCCTTTTGTGTGCATTCTTAGACGACAGAACCCGGGAAAAGTTCGAAATAGCTAAAACTGTCGGATACTTTATACAAGTAAGGAATAAGAAAATAATTATCACGATTTGATGGGCTATAACAACATAAGATACAGTTTCTTAAAAATTTTACTCTTCTAATTCTTTCTCTTTTTTTTTTT